AATCACATATTGGCCTCACATAGTGATAGTGTACACAGCCCCTTGGATTTTAGTTAATTCCAGATATAGTCAAGTTCACAACCAAGAACAGCTATCATAAGTCTACCCCTTGTCAGCTTGACACACAACCATATCTCTTTATGTATGCTTAATTTCCAAATGCAAACAATAACCAAGACACAATTATGCCTAACATGATATAACTATCCCACATACAATCGCAATTGCACTATATATTTCATCAGATAACATACAACCACAAACACATCATAAATTTAGAATGGGTGGAAATGGACATCATTTCAGTATCTCAGACTTAAATATGATAATCACTGATATTCTCTTAATTGATGTTATATCACATGATAAAGAAATCGAGGAAAGAAAACACAAATATCTGTACAAACACATTCTTAACAATTACAACAGAAACACTTATGTCAATTATAATCCTCATTTCTGCAACTGGTCACGTGACCTTAGCTGGTATTTATAACTACCTTCCTCTGCTACCACTGTCCGTCCTCTACCCTCAGCAAGCACCTCAGCAGGTCTTGGCTCTTTTCCTGGAGGAGTGACTCACATCCTCATTCCTCAAGAGTCTGTGCCCTTGGTCATCCTGCCTGGATTAAGATGTGGTACTATAATCACCAGACATAATTAACACCAAGAGATGATCCAAGGATCCCTGCACTCCAAACATAATCTTTCTCACCTCCATTGTGAAGCAATCCAATTTCCCCTCTTAACACTGTTATTCCTTTCTTAGCCTGTTGACTTAAGGGCAGCAGAAGCCCAAAGTGGCCAGGTGGACGTCTGAACTTCCACTTCAATGGATGTTTGTTGTGGCTCTCTGCAAGAGCACTCCCCACTCTGGAACCAAAACGTCCCGGCCAGCAGAACTGAAGGTCATGGGAATAGGACACAAAAATTGTCCTAGTGGGTTACTGGGGTGATTATGAATGGAACTATTCCCCTTTCCACCCCTTGATTCCTGGACCCATGGATCCTGTACCATATACTGGACAGCGATTCAAAGCATATGCTACTGCCTTCTGGAGAACCTGCCCCAGCCCTCCAGGCTGCTGCCGCCTAACTGGCGCTGTGACTGTGTCTTTGAAAGGCATTCCATCTTTCTCTAAGGCCAGCTGCATGGTGAGAACATGGTAACACCAGTGGACTCCACCATCACGGGCCCACTGTTGCCCTTCTCTGACCGTGAACTGAGTTCCCTGGTCAGAAGCAACACTGTGTGAAATAACACCATGTCGGTGGATCAGGCATTCTGTAAGGTACAGGCGGTAGTTTTAGTAGAAACATTACATGCGGGAAAGGCAAATCTATAACTAGAGTAAGGATAAACTGTTGTCCTTTTCATAGAGAAAGTGGTCCAATGTGATATTTTGTGGAAGAGACAGATGATCAAGATCCCTTCTAAGTTATGACACAGGGCTGGAGAGTTTATATATCCTTGAGGTAAAACTATAAAGGTATACTGCTGGGCTTTCCAACTGAAAACAAATTTCTTCTGGTGGTCTTTATCAACAGAAAAGGAAAAGGCATTTGCTAGATCAATAAATGCATACCATGTGTGAAGAGATGCGCTAATCTGCTCAAGAAAAGACACCATTTCTGGTATAGCAGCAGCAATTGGAGTCACTACTTGATTAAGTTTTCAACAGTCAACTGTCATTCTCCATGATCTATCTGTCTTCTTCACTGCCCATATAGGATGGCTAAAGGGAGATGTGATGGGAACCATGACCCCAACATCTTTCAAGTCCTTGATGGTGGCACTAATTTCTGCAACTCCTCCTGGGATGCGATATTGTTTTTTGTTCACTATTTTCCTTGGCACAAGCAACTCTGAAGGCTTCCATTTGGCCTTTCCAACCATAATAGCCCTCACACCACAGGCCAAGGAACCAATGTGGGAATTTTAAGTGTATCTTTCCCCATTACACATTCTGGGGCTGGGAAAATAACCACAGGATGAGTTCAGGGACCTAACAGACCTATGAGCTGGACTTCAGCACAAACTCCATTAATCACCTGACCTCCATGAGCCCTTACTTTAACCACAGGGCCACAATACTTCTTGGGGTCTCCCCCAAGAATCAGTGCAATTCAGATCCATTATCCAATAGACCCCAGGAAGTCTGATTGTTTCCTTTTCCCCAATGCACAGTTACCCTTGTAAAAGGCCGCAGGCCCCTCTGGGGAGGACTGGGGAAGGCTAACAGTAAAACTCAGGTATTTTATCAACGCCTTTCCTCAGGGGAGCCTGGCCACCCCTTCATTCAAGGGATTCTGGGTCTGCAAACTGGCTTATACCTGGAAATTGATTCACAGGCTGAGATTCCCTTTTGCCACAATGCAATGTAGCCTTGTTTTTTGTTGCTTTTTTTTTTCATTTGTTGGAGAATTTTCTACTTATATAGCTCAAACAAAAATGCAATATACTTTTTATCTAGATCATGCCTGAAAACACCATGATTGATTATCCAGTACCAAAGGTCTATTTGAGTCATGCAAGCTTAAAAATCACTTTGCCCATGCTGCCCATTATGGGTCAGGCCATTATGGACATTGCTTTGCCTGGGTTGCCCACTACAATAACTACAATCACCGTGCCTTTGGCAATTCAGTGCTGCTACCTGGCCCCTGCTACTTTGGGGCCCAATTAAACCCACTGAATTTAATTCATCCAACTGAGCAACGGCATTTCCAACCCTAAAGTCTGACACAAGGAAGAGGGCAACAACAAAGCTCATCAGATGTGCTGGTGCCCCTCACCATTTTGTGTCGTACAGGATTCATGAAGGGAATGTCCTCTTGGTCTTCCCATAGTGGAAGATAGGTTTGACACAGTGCACTCATTCTTGCATTGCAATTTCCCTGAGTCTTAAAATCCTGTCATCGACTCTAAGCCAAGGGATAACAGGCACCTCCAATTTCCTTTTCAGTAGGCCATCTTTTGACAAACGTTTCAGCCAACCACTCAAACAAACTTTTGACACATTTTTTTTGATGGAGAATGTACCCTAAACCTAGACTCTCCACTCAGTGAGCCCATGGCAATACACTCAGCCAGATCCAGTTTTATGCTCCTTCTACCATTATCCCACACCCTTAAAATCCATCCCACACATATTCCCAGACTTCCGTGTGAATGAATGAGCAAACTCATTAAGCTCTTTAGTACTGTAGTGCACTTCCTCATGGACTACACTTCCTACCTCCCCTCTAGGAGCCTGCTTAACCTTTAGTCTGGTTATAGGTCTACAGGCACTATTGGTGGGCCCTGGAGGACATCAGTGTTATTGCCTAGCATCTCCTGAAGGGAAAAATCACTGCTGATTCAGCAGACAATAAAGGACTCATTTCCTCAGTCAAGGGCAGAAAAGGCAGTATTTCAGGGAGTGGGAGTACATTTTCTGTTGAGGATGGAGTGACTACCTCCTCAGGTGAGATAAACCCTGGAGAATCTGAAGGTTCAAAGTTCTTAGCCTCAATAGGGTCATCCCATTCCAAGATACAGGATCCCATTCTTTACCAATAAATGCCCTTACTTTAATGCCCTCAGAGGCTGGGACTTGAATTTTCTGTGTAATTCAGCCAGTCTTATAAAGAAGACTTTGGTTTGATTTCCTGCATCTTGAGCCTTTGTCCTTCACTGTGTTCTGAGATGCTAGAAGCTAGTTAGTTTTATCACAGAGTGCATTCTTTTCCTTTGTCAGTTTATCCAGAGATGCTCGGAGCAACCAACTAGCATTATTTTCCTTATTTTTCTAGAAGCTGTCAAAATTTTTATATAGAGTTATCAAATCTGTTGCCTCTCACAATTGATGAATCAGGATAATCAGATGCATTTGTTTCCTTAAGTTTGAAAAACAGTTCATACCATGGGCTTTTAATACTGTCCAAGTGTCTAGGAGAGGCTTCATAACTGGAGAGGCTTCAGAGTAATGGTAGTGTCAGCAAATTGGAAAAACCTATTCTAGATACTAAAAAAAATTCATCCTTATACTTCTATTGCTCTGGAATCACTTCTGGGTATAGATAGATAGATAGATAGATAGATAGATAGATAGATAGATAGATAGATAGATAGATAGATAGATAGACAGACAGACAGACAGACAGACAGACAGACAGTTCTCTAGAGACAGATAGACAGAAGATGATAGATGGGAAGGAAGGAAGAAAGGAAGGAAGGAAGGGAGGGAGGGAGGGAGGGAGGAAGGAAGGAAGAAGGGAGGGAAGGAGGGAGAGAGAGGAAGGGTTGTTAGAGTGGCTTACAAGCTACAGACCAGCTAGTCCAACACTGGCTGTCTACCACGGGAAAGTCCAAGAACCAGTAGTTGTTCAGTCCGTGAGGCTGGATGTCTCCACTGGTCTTCAGTCTACACTGGAATTCCAAAGTAGGCTCTAATGCCATGAAGGAATGGACTTGCCAATTAGAGTGAGGGCAGGCAGGCAAGGAGAGCAAGCTTCCTTCTTCCCTGTCCTTCATGTAGGCTGCCAGCAGAAGGTGTGGGCTGGATGAATGTGAATCTTCCCACCTCAAATGATTGGGATTAAAAGTGTATCTTCCCACGTCAAATGATTTAATCAAAAAAAAAAAAAACAACAATACCTCACGGGTACATAATCACTTATGTTTTTGTTAATTTCAGATGTAGCCAAGTTGACAACCAAGAATAACCATCACAAGAATATCATATTGATCATTTTCTATTACGTGCCAAAGCTTTTACAATTCTTAAAATATGTACATGAGCATTTAATAGGACTTTCCATGTACCATTAAACCTTTGCAAATATCGACTAGCTTAATCCACATACCAACTGAATGAACTGTATTTTATTATTCCCCATGTCACAACTGAGAAAATTAAGAACAAACTTTAGGAGATTTTCAGACTCAGGCAGTCTGGCTCCAGGGTTTGTGCTGCTACACACTTATATTATTAAAGACTCTAGAGACACAAACTTACCGTCTCCTGCCGGCCAATTCTAGCTTTCTCGATGCTCTTCTGTAGGTTTGCGTGCTTCTGGCTTCCCTCCGACAGCTAGAGAGAATCAAGCAGATAAAATGGTTTGCTAAGAAGACAAAATGAAACAGACTTGGTTCCGCTCTATGTTAGAAAAATCATTAAAGGCCACACTGAAAACCAATTTTTCTAATTTGAAGAAAATTATTAATCATCAGAGTAGAATGAAAGAAAAGTGTCTGGGGTTGCTGTTGATTGCTATGATGAAACAACCACGCCCAAAGGAGTTTGGGGAGGAAAGGTTTTAGTCAGCTTACACTTCCACATCCATAATGCATCTCTGAAGGAAGTCAGGACAGGAACTCCAACAGGGCAGGAACCTAGAGGCAGGAGCAGATGCAGAGGCCATGGAGGGGTGCTGTTGAAAGGCTTGCTCCTTGTGGCTTGCTTGCTCAGCCTGCTTTCCTATGGAACCCAAGACCACCAGCCCAGAGATGGCACCACCCCAACTCCTTAGCTTTTTTCAAGACAGGGTTTCTCTGTGTAGCTTTGGAGCCTGTCCTGGAACTCACTCTGTACACCAGGCTGACCTCGCACTCATAGAGATCCACCTTGCTCTGTCTCCTGAGTGCTGGGATTAAAGGCATGGGCCACCACCACCCAGCGTAATTTCTTAAATGGGCAAGGCATGGTGGTTCATGTCTTTAATCCAAGCACTTGGGAGGCAGAGGCAGGCAGATTTCTTTGAGTTTGAGGCCAGCCCACTAGTTTACAAAGTGAGTTCCAGAATAATCATGACTGTTACACAGAGAAACTCTGCCTTGAAAAACAAAAACAAAAAGCAAACAAAAATAGTCTGTCAAGTTGACATAAAATTAACCTGAACAAAAAGTAAATGTTTTCTTATTTCATCCAAAAAAATAATGTCTTCAATTTTTTCCCCCAATTTTTGTTGTTCTGAAACAAGCTCTTACTACATAGGTCTTACTAGCCTGGACCTCAAAGAGAATAGCCTGCCTCTGCCTCTCCAGGTGCTGGGATTAAAGGCGTGTGGCACTACATCCAGCCATGAGTAATATGTCTTCAACATCTTTATGTAATCTTTAGGGGCTTTTCCATCTCTACCTCCAAATAACTTCTACCTTGTTACTTTAGTTAGAAATTGAATTTGAAAATTCAAAAATATCTCCTTTAAAAATCTGTATTCAAATTTCATTTCCCTTTTGACTAAGGTCTCTTAAGAGCACCTCAGGCTGTTTCGTGTCGACTCGCACTGTGCTCTCCAGTCAGTCAGGACTATCCCATTTGTCGCCGTAAAGCATCTAGAGGAATTGTACACTTCACACAGCTGTTACCTGCTGCCAATTCTGGTCAATTCACTAGTGTATTCATCTTACTCAGCTTAGAAAGCAGGTAAGTTCCATGTGGAAGTCATCCAGACAGTAAATATGGAAAATCCACAAGCATACCACTAGAAAAGACCGACAAATTTCAGGGCACACCTGACCCTCACAACTATTACTCACCTGAGTGTGTGAGTAAATAAATAACCACGGACAATTCCCAACCCCCAGCTTCTACCACATCCTTTAGTAAATTAAGACATTTCAGACTGGTTTGGGTGGCGATAAGCCTTCTTAAAGTATCTTCCATGCCTCTCTCTGGAGTCATACACTTCTAGAAAGTAATTAATTTAATTTGTTAGCTGAGAAGCAACTGACTTTTCACAATATAAATCTAGCTGTAGAGAGGGCGGTTAGTGTGTAAATACCAGTCTTGCTTAAAATTCAGAAAGAGTATCTTTGGAAAGTTGGTGGCTTTACTGGGGCAAGCAGAAGCACCGCCCACTTCCTTTACTGCCTCTCCAGCAGCAGCTCTGAAGGAGTACAAGCGAGTCAAGGCCAGCAGACGTCATCACCTGGACAGCGGGGCCTCTTCTACAGACATTATTTTCCCAAGTTCAAACAGAACACATTCTGCGGGTTTCCGAGCCAAAACAAGCTTCAAGACTTTACATTTAGCAACAAGATTGAGTTCTTCATAACAAAGATTGCAATGTATTTTAAAAAAAAAACTCTCCATGTTTAAAAACACCCTGAAGGACCTACCTAAAATAATCTTTATATATATATATATCAATCACTTCAATTCAGGAACAGGGAAACTCTCCAAATAATACATGGAAACATGTTTATTTTAAAACATGTTAAAAAACATGGAAAATGTTTATAAAATAACTAGACACATTAGCCTTAAAGTTAATAATTATACAAAACATATTAACAGGTAAGGAATACACACACACACACACACACACACACACACACACACACACACATGAATAAAGCACTCCAGGTACATGTCTACTTACAATCATTTACAACTTAAAGCATCTGAAAGATAACTCATTCAATACTTCCCCAATTCTGATAACAATCTTATGTACACACACATATCTTAGTGTCTTAGATGTATTTTACTTTTGTCTCTCACTTGTGTGCAGATACCCACAGAGGCCAGAGGAGGGCGTCATATCCCCTGAACCAGAGTCACATCCAGTTATGAGCCTCCGTATGAAGTGGGTGCTAGGAAAGGAACCCAGTCCTCTGGAAGAGCAGCAAATGCTCTTAACCACTGAGCCCGTGGCCCTCCAGCCCCCATCATCTCAGTACTTTAGACACGAAGCACTGCATCCGCAAGTTGTCACTCACGTTGAGTATCTTGGTAATACAGGATGCAAACGATAGGATGCGACACTGGCTGAGGGCTGCTTGGTCCCTGTTAGTTTTCAGACACTCACCCCAAACACCCCGGGAGCCACAGCTCTGGGTAGGCTGTTTGCCTCCAGGCTTTGGATTCTGCTTTGTTGTCAGGTTTTGCTTGTTTTGATCTGTACAGCTATTAGAAGTATATGGCTATGGTTCCTAATATGCCCTGTGGAATTACATGAAACCAGGGCTTTGAGGGGAGCGAGCTGAGGTGTGTGGGTCACGTGAGCCAGCAGTTCTCAAGCAGCGGCACACAGCAGAATACGGTACTGTATGTTTAGTAGGCTGCTGCTCCCACCTCCTGAGCGTCTAAATAGAACAGTGGTGGGGTTCTGATCCCCGACTCCTTAAGCACTAGGAAAGCACTCTGCCACTGAGCTATAGTCCAAAGAATCTGCATTTATAAATTTCTCAGGTGATGCTGATCCTACTGGTTACGGGTCAACAATTTTGAGAAATACTGATCCAAATAAAATTTTGTTTTCTCCAAGTAACAAACCCAACTGAAGCAATAAGGTATTAATATATGGGAAAATATAACCTACCTTCTAAGAGAAAGCAAATTACTACTATATATTATAGTTTGAACTAGAAAATGTCTCAGTATCTCTGTATTTAAAATCAAAAGCCCACACTTATAAAAAAAATTAAACAAATGAGATTTTATATTTTCAAAAGGTATTCACCACAAGATTCCGTTAAAGACAAAACTATTTTGTATATGTCTATAAAGTGAAACCAGAATCAATTATATACTATACTAAATCCATTTCCATATTTCACTAAAGCTAATGATAATTTTTAAAACCTAGTATGCCAGAACAAATGGCAGCAGCTGGAACAGTAAAAACTACTTACAATTAGAAAAAAACAGGTTTCATCTTTAGATTTGAGACTCTAACACAATACTCCTCTCATTGGAATAGTGAATACACTGGAAGCCACCTAGTAAAGACACAGGGTAGAAAAATACAGTGGCCCTACTGCACACACACCTTCTCAGAAGTGCTACCCATTGCTTTACACTCAGACACAGACCAGTACAGGTAACATTCAAAATGTAAACCAGATTACCCTTGTATGATGCTTTGTAATTCACTATTTTCAGATAAATTTCGAATGTGTGTGTATATATATCATAAAGAACACACACACACACACACACACACACACACACACACACACACACATTCTTTATGTTAGACAAGGTTTCACTATGAAGTACTGGCTGTCCTGGAACTCACTATGTAGATCAGGCTAGCCTCAAACTCAGAAATGAACCTGCCTCTGCCTCCTGGGTGCTGGGATTAAAGATGTGTGCAACCAAGTCCAATAGGTCTACATTATTTTAAAAACAAGTTTGTTTTTCAGAGCAATTTAAGTCCACAGAGAGTTGAGCAAAAGATACAGATTTTCTCATGTACCTTAATCCTACATATACATAGCCCCTCACTATCAAAATCTCACACTAAATGGTACATTGGTCACAGTTTATGAGCCTACACTGACATCACCATCACCAAAGTCCATGGTACGTTAGGGCCCACTGGTGCTGTGCACTCTGGGGACTTCAGGGAATGTACCCACCATTAAAGTCTCATACAGAACAGTTTCACTGGTCACAATTCTCTACGCCCCATCTAGTTATCCTTCCTCTCCTAGAATGGCTTTTCTCAATTTGCACTGAATTCCCACTGAACCCCCAATCATCTTACAGCTTACAATAACCAATTTATTTTCATCAGTGCATAATATTCTAGTATCTGGGTAACTTTCAGTTTGTTCAGTCATTAAGCTAGTAAATACCCTATTTGCTCCCAAATGTAGGTAATTATGAATAAATCTACTATAAATACCTGTACAGATTTTTTACAAAACACCCTTGGTAAATGCCAAGGAGCACAACTGTTGGGTCACAGGATAAAAAGTATGTTTACTTTAATAAGAAACTGCCCAAATGCCTTCAAACAGTGGCTGCACAATTTCTATTCCCAACAGCCACAAATGGACAGTTCCTTTCCTCTGCACCCTCCCAGCATCTGGGTCACCATGGTCATGTGTATGTGTAAGTGCCTGCATGTATGTATGTGTATCATGTTATATACCTGGTGCCCACGGAGGCCAGAAGAGGGTTTTGGATCTCATGGAAATGGAATAAATAGGCAGTTGTGAACCACCAGGTGGGTGCTGGGAACCAAAGCTGGATCTTCTGCAAGAGCAGCCAACCTTAACCACTAAGCCACCTCTCCAACTTCTTTTAAAGATTTTTAATTATGGAAAAGATATGCAAAATGCATCACTTAACATATT